TTATTAGAGGCTTTTCAAAAGTAGCACGAAATTCTCAAGCAGTCTCCTATTTGACGCTTGAGAGTGAAGGAGGGTAGGGTTTCCTGGCAGTTCACCACGGACAACTTCATTACTCCCATTTTTACCTGCATGGTAATTAATGTAAAGTCACTTTGTATACCCACACCAGGGACTTACAGTTACAGGAAAAGCTGATCATCTAAGGCAGGACTTCTAAGCCGAGGCTCACCGATAAACCTTTGAGAAAACCGAGCAAGTTCTGGCCCTGCCCTACGAAGAACCTCCAAATACACTCATGCACGTGGAAAGTCAGCATTTCCCATCCGACTCCAGGGAGTTTCCCGGTCCTCCTGGAGACCACCGGCGGTGCGAGCACAGGTTAAGGAATTCTGATTTCGAGGAAGTCTGCGCACTGGGAACAGACACACCTGCCTTCCCAGGTGGACCACCACCCAAGAGGCCAGGCTGGAGAAGAAGGCTGCATGTCACGCATCACCACAGAGCTTAAGAAAAGCAGGCGTTCTCTGGGAAATTCCCAAAGCACGGAAGAACGTGTCCCCTTCTAAGTCCTAGCAGAGAAAAAGAATTTCTAAGATTTAGTGAAGATGCCCTGGTCGAAAGGAACGGAGTGCCTCGGTCTCTGGACCATGACGGGCACCCCAGGTCCATTCTAGGCAAACCTCGGGCTGCTGGTTTTTTCCCGCCTTTCTGCCTTAGTTTTCTTACAAAAGGACTTAAGATGCTTCGGAGAACACCATTCCCATGTGACATACGGAGTGAACTACCATGGAATCACAGAGCCCCAGCAAAGAGCCAGGAACCGGGAAAATGGATGAAGGGAGGCCTCGTGGGGCACCAGGGGAGGAGGACCCTGGGGGCCAATCATGCAAGGTTAGATGCACTGGCACCCTCCCTCCCCCTCCCCCCCCCCCCCCGCCGGAAGTGCCCAGTGGCCTTCCCTGGCTCTGCTGCTTCGGGTGGGGGTGGGGCATCCTGGTGATACAGGCTCACACGTCACCTGGATGTGCAGGATTTGTGGGGAATTTTTCCCGGAGTCCCCACTTAATGCCTGCAGTTCTTTCCAACCAAGAGAGTGGCAGGGGCACACCTCCTCTGGAGATAATCCCTGAGCCAGAATCAAGAGCCAGACGCTCAAAGGACTGAGCCACTCAGGCGCCCCTGGGTTCTCGCAACCTTGAGTCTATTTACGAGAAACTCCTCATCTGCACCCTTTGCTCCCTCCGTGCAGCTTGCTCCTCGCTGGGAATCACGGCCGCACGCTCACGTTGAGGACTCATCGGTAAACCCGAGTCGGACTGGTTGCAACATCAGCTTCTGGTAATTCCCAAAGCTAAACGTGCCAGGACAGGACATAACGGGACTTTGTTTTTACAACACTAAGGGATCAAAGCAATTCAGTTATTAAGGCTTAAAGAACAATACAAAGCAATGCCCCTGTCTCTCGGATCCATCAACAACACTGGGACCGTCCCTCTCGAGACCCTGCCAGAACTCTGTGTCAAAGAGATCACTGGCAAGGAAGAGGGCGGACCCCGGATCCTGAAAGGAAGAAACACAGATGCATCTCGGAACACTTGATCAAGACCCACCTTTCCAGGGGGCCACTTCCGAGCTGTCCAAACAGCAGCTCTCGGTCACTCACAAATATGGATTCCAAGGCCCTTAGAAAATCTAAAGCTTACTGCACTCAAGGCAGGCAGTCTCTTCTGATCAACTGTCATCTACAAGTTAGCGACCAGAGAACGTGTTTAAAGATGCTCCCCAATGGATGAGGGACCTAGGAGCACAGACATGAGGTTTTTGACCTTTCTTTTGTAAAACCAGCCCAAAGTCAGCACAGACCCAGCAGCAAGCTTGGGTGCCAATGTCAAACTTGTTGGGTCTCACCTGTGAACACAGAGGATTCTAAGAGCTGCTTTTCCCACGTGGGTTCCACACTGGTATTTACCATCTCAGAAACTAACCTCAGACATTTACGAGACATTCTGTAATTCACTTGAAATAATTACAAACCGCTTTCACACTCTTACAGATAACATTTTTATGAAAAGTAACTCTTTTCCAAAACAATAATAAAATTTAGTGAGCAGTGGCATGGCATGACTCTGAGAATCTCCTTCCTGGTGGGATTCATAAAAGATGGCTGGACTCTCAGAACTGCTTCCCGTTGCTTCTGTTTCCATACACGGCTGTGACTCAAGTTCACAAAGAAAATCCTTTCCACACGAAGCATCCTCTGACGCTAGGTCAAAACTCAACCAGAGGTAATTCCCTAAAGGAGAGCAGTGACGTAGGTTCAGAAAAGCTTATCAAAGAACTGTTGGCACGGGTATGCTAAAATCCAACGATCTTGTATTTTGAAATTTCCCCAGCTTTGTAATAAACGTCGGTCACTTGGAATCAACTCATTCGCTGAGTTATGCAAATCTTCCACACGTTTACATATTTCATCGTCACTAAAGTTCACGTTAATACAGACATCGGTAGACAAGGATTTAAGTATCGGGATGCTATCCAGTTTGTGCTGGTATACTGAAGTTTCCCCAAACATTTTCACCAGAAATCTCACTTCTTATCATTTACCGCTGGCAGCAAATGCAGTCCGCTGTTGTTTTTCTTGATGTGAGAGATTCCCTCTGTTCACTTCTGAGAGAGTTTATCCTAGAACACCCAAGTCTGGGTAAACGGGGTTGGTCAGTTCTTCTTTTCACGGAGAAGATGGTGCTGACAAAAGCGCTACTTTGGCCAACAGCCCAAGCCTCGCGTGTGCTCTTTCCGTGAGAAGACAGCCCTGCTTTGGAACACTCACTCTTAGAAAGAGTTAGCTCGAGGGTTAAAATGGAAGGAAATAGCGATGTTTACCACTTTAGCACGTATATTCTTAAATGACCCCATTTCTCCCGTGCAGGCGTGTGAGGTGAGGGGCACAGTGAGGGCTGGGCCGTCTGCTGCCACAGGCTCGATCTGAGACAGGACCAGCCCTGTCACCTGTCACTGCCTCTGTGCCACCTGCCTCAATGTCAACAGTGACAGAGGCAAACATGCTGGAGAGCAGCCCCGGGCCACACCCGCCCACTGACGTGGACCCCTCACAACTACAGAACTCCAGCCCCCAGTTGACTTCACTCATTCCTGCAACCGAGCCACTTGAGACCCGCTTGAAAAGAACTCCCACAAACGTTCCGTAACGCAGCACACCTGCACTTGGCATCTTCAAAGCCGGACCAGGCTAGGACTGGAAAAATGGCTGCCCGCCATGTGCAACGACTGTTCTGCCCACGCTCGCCTCCCCCTGGAGGCCCGTTTTGACTCTTGACATTGACGGAGCCTGCCCTCCACGGAGGCCGGCTGCCCTCCACAGCACTGTGGCCAACCTGTAGCTTATTCCCAAACACCACCTCCAACCACCACATTTTCAGCCACTTTTTGACCACGCGGCCGTTTTGTCTGAGCCGAGCACCTTCAGATTTGCAAAGGGAATGTGACCACCTTGCTCCCATCAGCCGGCGGAAGGGAGGCGGAAATTCGTTAAACTGCACACCACACCAACAGGCCGCTCATAAGGGGGCCCCTTTTGGCAATAAAGTCAAGACTGTGATTGCCGGAACAAGAGTCATAGCACTTAGAGCACCAGTAAACGTAGGCTGTGAGTCCCTCCAACGCCTGCATCCCTGATCCCGCTCTATCTTAAATGCTGACATCAGAATTTTTATGGAGAGCCTCTAGACTCTCTGAGTTTTTCATTAGACTGTGAATGGTAAATGACACACTTTTCAAAGTTTACGTCCTTTTTCTTGGCTGGATCCACAAAAATAAGATTCATACTTTCTTGCCTCTGCTGCCAATTCCATGGCTAGAAACTACTCATTGCAAAACAGAAATAGATTCTTATTTTGCTTTGATATAGATTCACAAAATAGACAAATCTGCTCACATATTCACTTGCTTTGTTTATTAAAATTTAAATAACGCTGAGTTAGCCATCTAATGAATCAAAATTTCAAACACACACAAGTTCTCAATCCATGTAGAATGATGGGTTCCAGGTAATTTTCAGGGGAAAGTTCTCACAGACTTTCTCTCCGTTTCTAAAGGTGCTGAAAGCAATTAAATTACCAAGCGAGTACGTATTAAGTTTATGTATATTCTGTAGAAAAGGTGTGCTTCCAAGCAAGAAAAAGAAAACAGGCTGACGTGAAATTCAGGCGAGGAGGAAAAGAATGGAGAACCCGTGGCCAGAGGCAGAAGCCCTTTCAAGCTGGGCCAGGTCCCCCTGCCCGGAGAGGCTGGCTGCAGGACCACTGCCGTGGACAGTGCGGCGCCCACTGGGAGCCCCAAGGAAGGCAGCGGCCCGCGCGCTGGGAAGGGCGGGGGGACGGCGTGGATGTGGCGGGATGTGAAGCCCCATTTGGGGGAGGGCAGAGGAGACTGAGGAGCCACTGAGACACGGGGGCTGGCAGCCGCCTGGCCGGTGAACGGACTGTCGGGCAGGAGCCGATCACAGGGTCACAGCACGTCACTATCGCAGGCGACACCTCCCTCATCAGATCCAGTTTAAACTGCTGGAAAAAAATGTCCAAGATTCTCAATCCCATCAAAATTCACCAAGTTTTAGTTTTGAGTATTTTATACTTTCAGCAGAGACCCCAAGAAGCTTACAAATGTGGCCATTTCACTCCACGTGAGCCGTAATGTGGGTAAACCAAACTCCACCTGACCTGGCCTACAAATTCAAGAGGTCAAAGGTGAGCAGCACCTGCACTCCGTGGCGTGGTTTGTGTGAGAACACGCCCCTCTCTGAACAGGCGCCCCAAGTGCCACCACCTCCTTGAGGGATTGTTACACGAGGACAGACCGCACACGGGGACAGCGCCACCTGCCCCATGCCAGCCGACGCCGTGTGGAGAGTCAGGCGGCTCAGATCACAAGCCGCAGGTGGCAGACGCAGCGCCACGGCATGGCTGTGGGCCCGACCCAACCCCCTATTCTGCAGTCACGTCAAAATGGACCTGGAGCTCTAAGGACCTGTCAACTAAATGGGTGCAGAAAGACAGAAGTGTCAGAAGGCAAAAATTGTATCAAAATGTAGGCCTCTCCCAGCCTCCAGGACACCGAGAGCAACAGAATCAAAGCCGAGGGTTGGCGGGGGGGGGGGGGGGCGGGGGGTGTCTCCCCTGGACACTGGAGTTTAAAGCAAAGGCACCGGGCTGCTGCTGAAGACATTTACAGAAGAGATTCCCTTCCTGCGACAATGCAGGCCAGTGCCCCTGAGATGTCCCCAGTGTCCTTCTGTTCATTAGACTCTGCAGACACACAGACACGTGTGCAGTAGTTAACAGGACACGTGTGAAGAGAAACCTGCTAATCACAGGCGACTAGTTAGGTACCCTGCACACTACTGAGTGTGTCCCAAATATAGCAACATCCTTGTCAAGTAGGTGTGCTGGCACCCATCACTTCCTGGGGTGGGGGGGAGGGTGCAGGGATGAGGAAGCTGTCCCTGATCAGGGCTGGACCTCAGAGCTGTCGGGCCCAAACTCTTAACAAGCATCTTTAACAAAGATTATGCAGCAGTGACTCTCAGCTACGCTGATCCAGGCTGTTCTCTCATTGCCAGGTGCACGGGCACATGCACGTGGGTGTGGCAGGAACAGGACAAAAGGGACCATGGACTTCTAATGGCCCAGTATCAACAGAAGCAAAACATGCTTTCACTTCCAGAAAATTGTAAAGTGAAGTAAAACACACATACTGTGTTACTTCCCTATTTACGCATAACAAGTTGCCACAAACTTAGTGGTTTCAGAGACACAAATTTATGATCTCCACCTCCCTGGCTCAGGAGTCCAGGCACCAGGTTATCAGGGTCCTCTGCTCAGGGCGTTACCAGACTAAAATCAATGCTTAGCTGCAACTGGGACTCATGGCCAGATGAGGCTCTGAGCCCTTCTCCGGGCTCACAGGTTGTTGGAAGAATTCATTTCCTTATGGCCACAGGACTGAGGTGTGTTTTCCTCCTAGCTGTTAGCCAACAACCACTCTCAGCTCAACAACCTATAGCTCCTAACTGGCAGTCCCTCCTCTTACAACATGGTAGTGTGCTTACTCGCAGAGGCCAGCAGAAGCAGGTTTCTGACTTCGTCTCTGATGTCAAATTCTTTTGAAGAACACACCTGACTAGGGCAGGCCCACCCAGGATAATTTCCATTTTCATTAGGCCAACTGATTAGGCACTTTAATTACATCTCCAAAAATCCTCCCCCATAATCATGGGAGTTACATCCCACGATAATCCACGGTTACCACTCACATTTCAAAAGAATTATACAAAGGCACAGATCATCGGGGGTCATCTTAGGATTCTACCATTCACATGAAACTAGAGAATGAAAATTAGGACAAAAATTGAACACTCAGAAAGATACCAATGAGATATATCAATTGATATAGAAAAGCGAAGAGAAAATCTTATCTAAGTTCCAGTATTTTCTAAATTTGTGCCAGATACCGATGTTATAAGTTTGTGGAGGCGGGGGCAGGGGACTTTCTTTTAAGAGCACAGCTATGCCTTTCTGAATGAAGACTTGTTCGGGTTTGTTCTCAGCCTGCTGGTGGATACTGCTCCTCTATGAGTTCTCTGTCACTGTTGGCAATGGCACATCAGCTTAACCACTATCACTTCCAGCCAATATGAGAAACAGGCAAATTTTCACTGTGGCTTGGAAATGAAAAAATGAAAACCAGGCAAAAAAATATGAACAGTGGTTTTCCAGACGCTCGATACAGGGGAGGTTGGGTAACCCCTGAGAGATGGCAAGAGACAAGGTGCGCCTAGACATTTCCCCGGCCAACTGCCTTAAGAGTTTCCAGGCTGTGGTAATGGCAGAAGCAATCTGGGCAGAGCCCAGACGACTCGTGGAGGAGATAAAACCCACAGTCCAGGAACGTGGGTGGTTAGACGACTCTGGAGGTGGGCAGACGCCCCAAGTAGAGTGTGGACCAGGAGAGCAAGGGCAGAGTCACATGAAGATAAGTGGAACGTCACCAGGTAGTGAGACACGAGAGGACATGTGCCTATTCCCGCTACATAGAAGGGACACCCCAGCATTCACAGGACACCGGGCAAAACATCTGAGTCTTGCCTCCGTGGCTAAGACCAAGAAGCACTAGACTAAACGCCACTCTCATTCCGACTAAGAAGTCTTAAGAGCAAGACCTAAAAGGGTCAAATGGTTCCCATTTAACCTACTTACATTTCAGAAGTGAGCTAAAGAATATTAAAAACAAAAACATCCAGGGGCGCCTGGGTGGCGCAGTTGGTTAAGCGTCCGACTTCAGCCAGGTCACGATCTCGCGGTCCGGGAGTTCGAGCCCCGCGTCAGGCTCTGGGCTGATGGCTCGGAGCCTGGAGCCTGTTTCCGATTCTGTGTCTCCCTCTCTCTCTCTGCCCCTCCCCCATTCATGCTCTGTCTCTCTCTGTCCCAAAAATAAATAAACGTTGAAAAAAAAATTTAAAAATAAATAAATAAATAAAAACAAAAACCATCCAGTACTTAACCAGGTAAAATCTACATTATCAAGCATCTAAACATGAGAGACATAAAAGGAGAAAATTATGGGCCACCTAAGAAAAACCAAACTGACACAGATGTTATAATCAGCAGACAAGGATGTTAAACAGGCACTATCACTGTATTTCAGATGAAGAGGCAAGTAGAGAAACGCGGGGACATAAAAATAAGAAACGCTGCTGTTAAAGATTTGCAATCTGTAGATAGTTTCACAAAGGCAAGGATGATGGCAGATTTCTGATCAAAAACAGTGCAAGTCACAGGACAGTGGAACAAGATCTTTAAAAAAAAAAAACTGTCAAAATTTATGCACAGCAAAAAAGGAAATCTTTCTAACATTAAAATACTTTCAGACCAGCAGACTTGCACTTACAAGAATCGCTGGGTCCTCGCAGCAGAGGGAGAAGGACTCCAAATCCAGAGTGTGGAGGGGCTGTGAATCTCACTACTGGTAGGAAAGCAAATAGTGCAGCCACCGTGGGAGACAGTTCGGGGATCTGTGAAAATGCCAAACGTCCCCTGACCGTATGATCCACTCATAGTGAAGTAAAAACACGGGTCTGGAGAAAGACTTCTTCAAAAATGTCCACAGCAGCTTCGTTTCTAAGAACTAAAACTGGGGTGAAATCCCCAGTGGACATCAACAGACAAACGAGAAGTTGTCTACCCAGTGAGGACCACCCAGCAAAAAAGGAACGACCTACTGATGTACATACTGTGGACGAATCTCAACACAGGTCTGCCAGAAGCTATCCAGCTATGTAACTCTACTTACAAAGTCACAAAACTTTATGTGCACGTGTATAATAATCCTTTATAAAATTCCAGAAAACTCAAACTAATGTGTAGTGACATCATAGGGAGGAGAAACAAGAGAAGGAAGGGATGAGGTGAGGGGTTCCCAAGGGGCAGGTGTGGTGAGGGAAACGTCATTATTTTGATTACAGTCCTACAGGTCAAATTTTATCCAACTGTATACTCTGAGTACCTTCTCGTGCCATTTATAGCTCTAAAATACAGCATCTGGGGAAAAAAAATAGTTCACTAAGTATGCCCTCTGTGGTCCCCTAGAATTGTGAACCCAACATGCAACCCCCCCACTTTTTTTAAGGTTTTTGAGACAGAGAGAATCCCAAGCAGGCTCCGCACCGTCACCACAGAGCCCGATATGGGACTTGAACTCACAACCCGTGAGATCATGAGCTGAGCTGAAATCAAGGGTTGGACACTCAACCGACTAAGCCACCAGGCGCCCCTGCAACCCTGTTTTGCAGAAAAACAGGTCCTCCTGGTCCCCCTTCCCAGCTTCATCATTTGCCTCCACTTCACGTAAGGAGAACCCGTTTCACACAACTGTGACAGCTAAAGTCAGAAAGATGGTAACAAACATTGGGGAGTATGTGAAGAAACTGGAGCTCCCCACACTGCTGACAGGAATGTAAAAAGGTAGAGCTGTCTGGCGAAACCTTCCGGAGGCTCTTCAAAACGCGAAACATAAAACTGCCACAGAACCCAGCGATTCCATTTCTGAGGTGTGTAACCAAGAGAAATGAAAGTTTGCACCCACGCAAAATAGTTCATGGCAGTAGGATCTCGGCAGTTGAGCCAAAAGACAAAATAACCCAAATGTCTGGCAACTGATAAAATGCAGCGCAGCCAATCACGTATTGTTCCTAAAAGAGAATGAAGTGTTGATACATGGATCTTACAAACACATAAGTAAAAAAAAAAAAAAAAAAAAAAAGGCCAGACAAAAATGGAATCCTAAAGTTTAGGCCTTCGATGTGATGTGTCCAGAAGAGTCAAATTCCTGGACAGAAAGTACACTAGTGATCGACTGGGGCTGGGAAAAGAGGAACAGGGATGGACGGGGTCGGAACAGGAGTCCTTCCAGGGCGTCAATACGTTCTCCAACAAGACTGTGGGGATAGGGATACAACTCCATGGATGTATTAAAGACCACTGAACTATATATATACACTTCATGTGGGTGAATTTTAGGAAATGTAAAATATCTCAAGTTACAAAATTAAATCCCCTCATACAAAAACAATCCATACACACTTTTTAAAACATGAAATCACTTGTTTTTATGTGTCGGTGTTAAAATTTACAATGCCAGGGCACCTGGGTGGCTCGGTTGAGTGTCTGACTTCAGCTCAGGTCGTGATCTCCCGGTTCGTGGGTTCAAGCCCCGCGTTGGGCTCTGTGCTGACAGCTCAGAGTCTGGAGCCTGCTTCGGATTCTGTGACTCTCTCTCTCTCTCTCTCTCTGCCCCTCCCCCACTCGTGCACTGTCTCACTCTGTCTCTCAAAAATAAATAAATGTAAAAAAAAATTTTTTTTTTAAATTCATGATGCCCATCAGGTCCCCAGGGGGCAGGCAGGGGTCACTTGTATGCCAATCAGGCCAACGGGCAAAGAGCGAGACAATTTCAAGGCTTCCGTCTTTTTAAAAAATTTTTGAGAGAGAGAGAGAGGGAGAGGGAGGGAGGGAGGGCAGGTGCATGCGTGAGTGGGGGGAGGGGCAGAAAGGAAGGGGGACACAGAATCGGAAAGAGGCTCCAGGCTCTGAGCTGTCAGCACACAGCCTGACATGGGGTTCGAACTCACAAACCAGGAGATCATGAGTTGAAGCTGGCCGCTTGACTGGCTGAGCCACCCAGGCGCCTCCAGGGCTCCCATCTTCTTGTGAACCAAAGAACAGAGTTTCTTGGTTGTCACTGCACAGAATCCCCTAGCAACTATGTTCCCTAAGAAGACCTCTCATGCCTGCTGATCTTAAGATGGCCACGCAGGCCTCACCTCAGCACAACGCCCAACCCTCTTCTCCACGGTCAGCATGTTGCCATACTGAGTACAAGCTTCTGCTCTGCATCAGAGGCTCCTGGCCCCATGGCACACCAAGTCTCCATCTCACCCTGCCAGCTCTGACCACGTGGTGATGTACATTCTGCGTCCCCACGACACAGAGCCATTATGTATCATACTTTCCTCCTCCCGACTCCTCCAAAAGAGTCAAGGCTGTTAGTCCGGCAGGTTTCAAAGACTTGGCAATGGCACCCAATGACGGGTCCCCCGCTGGACAGAACGTACTTCCCTCCGCTGGAGGTGGCGGTGTCAGAACGGGAAAGAAGATGGGGCGCCTGGGTGGCTCAGTTGGTTAAGCGTTCGACTTCGGCTCAGGTCACAATCTCACGGTTTGTTGAGTTTGAGCCCTGCGTTGGGCTCAGAGCCTGGAACCTGCTTCAGATTCTTTGTCTCCCTCTCTCTCTGCCCCTCCCCTGCTCACGCTCTGTCTCTCTCTCTCTCTCAATAATAAATAAACGTTAAAAAAAAAAATAAAAAAAAAAAAGGAACGGGAAGGGAGAGGCTGGCAGCAAGGAAGCGTCAGCACGTGCAGACACAGCAGCACGCGAAGGCCACCTGAACACCGACAAGGTCCACTGCCGGGAAAGCAGGGTGCTGTTAGATGCAGGAAAGAAAAACTCAAAGAGGGAGGGACGGGACCAAACCCCAAGGGACCTGGCTTCCACCCCCCCCAGGGCAAGGCACTCTACCACAGCAGGAAAGTCTTCCTTTCCGCCCTCCAGCTATAAAGGCAGCCGCCCTACCTCCATCCCAAATAGGACTAAAACTTAAGAAAAAACAAGATACAAGAAAGTATCTGCTTTACCACATCTGATAGGGGAGTAACTGCTTCACTTGTTCCTTTACAAATTCCATGGAAATTATACCTCAAAATATTATCTCTGAAGGCAATGAATCAGGTCCTCAGATGATAATGGGTCTTCTGCTGTATTTTCATGTTGATTTCAGAATAACTGTTTGTTGTTTGATTGGCTAAATGTTCAGCTATCTGTGTTTCCATCTGATGTTAATTTCACTTATTACTACAAGTTAAATCAAGTGCACCCAAGGCAGTTTCACGGGGGCTTCCAGTATACTGTTTATTATGCTCCTTCCTTATTTGAAGAAGCCACACAGACCTCTTTTCTCCCTATTGTTATGGAGGAAAGACAGCTTAGCAGAAAGATATAAGATTTTTTCCCTCAAGATTGTTCATCTTTTGTGTTGGCAATCTGTCTTTTAGGAAAGATAGAATAAAGCCGATATTTAGGTATATCCAGTGATTCACTGCAAGCATCTCTCAAAACCATGATCAATATTCTCATGTTTTTAGCACTGTTTTCAGTCATAAATATCTTTCCTCTAAAAAAGAAATAATTCTCCTTTCGGTCAACAGTCCCTGAAGTCGATATGAGGTCGGCAGAGCAGCCATAATGGCCTGGTCAGGCTCGAGGCACACTGGGGGAGCCACCTTTTTACTCAAGAGCCAAGAACACGCTGGTGCTAAAATCTAAGTGCTTTGTTCAGGGGAAGGAAAACTGCAGAGAATTTAAATTCCAAAACAGCAACCCTGGGAAAAAGGGTTCTATTCTGCAGCAGATCACGTGCATTCACTTATTCCATGATTCGTTTTCCTCCTCTCGGCTCCATCAATAAATAAGTTTTTAAAAACCAAGACAGATTTCATCATTTGGAAATAACGTGTGATGATATCCTTTTAAAAGTTAAAATCTGAAACCCAGCAAAAGTTGCATAGAAAGGAATGTTTAAAAGGCACTGCAATTAGATGACAAAAATTTTGATATGTTAATTTCCATTTCTCTAATTACTAGTGAGACTGATCTTCATTTCATCTATTTGTTGCAATGTTTGTATTAAAGAAAGCACTAGCTATGGGAATCTAGAAACTAATTTTTAGTCCCAGGTTTGTCATCAGTGTTGCAGACTTTGATCAACTGAATTTACCTTTCTGAACCTCAGTTTCCCAATTTCACAAATGGAATAATCATCCCAGTCCCACCTTACTCCAGAAGTTACTGTGAATGATCAGAAAATAATGGATAAAAATGCAAGTGGGAAACTCTAAAATGCTAGACAAATAAATGGGGTTTCTTAGTTTTGAAACAAAAGAAAAAAGGCATGCAATTAAATGTCGTAAAGGTAAATGTTAGGAAACTATATCCAGATAAGAACCATGCTTATTGTGTAAGATTTGAAACACCTGTCAGCCACCCATCAGAAGCGGAGCGCTGAAATGCTTTGTGCTGCGTTAACAGGAATCATAACACTAGAAAGATCTTCGGCATCAATTCACAGACAAGATCCCGCCCTTATCAGCTGCCTCAATCACCATGGTGCACAGGGCTCGCAAGGCTGCCAGCATAAGGTGGCCCTGAGCACGAGGTGCAGGAGGCGGCCGTCCACTGCTGGAAGATGGGCCCGCTCCTAGCCAGTCCTTTACGTCCTCCGTAAACAGGCATCTTCCAACATTCAGGTTAAAAAAGGAACCAGTCAAAAGGTATGTTAAAAAAAGGGCTCTCCTCTGTCACAATCAGGTCTGACCCTCACTCCGGTGGCGTCAGATCATGCTGAGCGGTGTGCATCTGCTCCAGAGAGCCCGATTTTATAGACAGGCCCAGCGGCTCCCACAAAATGCCAGTCGTGCATTAGAAATTAAACAGAAATCCGGTTTAAAAATATGAAAAGGTAGTCACGTATTAAAAATAGAGCTGTTGACGGTAAATACTGTTGATGCGGCTTCAAAATATTTAGCCGGGGAATCCCACGGAAGTGGTTCTGTTACTTCCAGGAAGGTGAGGGCACGTCAGCACAAATAACGTGCACTCCTGCCATCTGCGCACCAAGCAAGTCTTCGCGAGACTGTCTCTCCGGATTACAGCACCTGGACACCAGGTCCAGTGTCTACACAAGAATAAGTTTAACTGGGGGCGCCTGGGTGGCGCAGTCGGTTAAGCGTCCGACTTCAGCCAGGTCACGATCTCACGGTCCGTGAGTTCGAGCCCCGCGTCAGGCTCTGGGCTGATGGCTCGGAGCCTGGAGCCTGTTTCCGATTCTGTGTCTCCCTCTCTCTCTGCCCCTCCCCCGTTCATGCTCTGTCTCTCTCTCTGTCCCAAAAATAAATAAACGTTGAGAAAAAAAAATTAAAAAAAAAAAAAAAAAGAATAAGTTTAACTGTCCTGGAAGTTTTTGTTCCGAGAAGAATCTGCACTTTTGAATAATTTTATTTTATTATGATCAGCATCTAATTTATAGTTATGCTGTTTTTTCCTCCTAAAACTAATATAAAATTAGAAAATAGAACAGGGAAAACATACAGTTTACTACATAAGCTACATTTGAACTGTGTATTTAAAATGTTTAAAAATCAGTGATTTCATTTAGTCACTATTCAACTAGCTACAATATTATTATTATTATTAATTTACATCCAAGTTAGCATATAGTGCAATAATGATTTCAGGAGTAGAATCCAGTGATTCATCGCCTTCATATTTTTTAAAATATTTTTTATTTTCATTTTTGAGGGAGAGACAGAGGGAGAGAGGGAGGGAGGGAGTTGGAGCACAAGTAGGGGAGGGGCAGAGGGGAGACACAGAATCTGAAGCAGGCTCCAGGCTCTGAGCTGTCAGCACAGAGCCCGATGCAAGTCTCGAACCCACCAAATGCGAGATCATTACCTGAGCTGAAGTCAGATGCTCAACCGACTGAGCCACCCAGGCGCCCCTACTCATCCCCTTCATGCAACACCCAATGTTCATTCCAGCGAGCGTCCTCCTTAATGCCCCGTGCCCATTTAGTCCATCCCCCAAACCACAGTCCCTCCAGTGCCCTCAGTTTGTTCTCTATATTTAACAATCTCTTATGTTTTGTCCCCCTCCCTGTTTTTATTTTATTTTTGCTTCCCTTATGTTCATTAGTTTTGTATCTTAAATTCCACATGAGTGAAGTCATGTGATATTTGACTTAATTTCCTTAAGCATAATATACTCTACTTCAATCCCATGTTGTTGCAAATGCCAAGATTTCATTCTTTTTGATTGTCGAGTAACACTCCATTGTGCATGTGTATATACATACCACATCTTCTTTATCCATCTCTCGACGGACACTGGGGTTCTTTCCATACTTTGGCTATTGTTGAAAAAGCGCTGCTATAAACATTGGGGTGCATGTGCCCCTTTGAATCAGCACACCTGTATCCTGTGGGTAAATATCTAGTAATGCAATTGCTGCATCACAGAGTAGTTCCATTTTTAATTTTTTG